TTGGATTAGTAGAGTAGAAGAAGAGGTATGGCCTTGCCTTGTCAGGTGTCTGAGCCGTCATGGCAGGTCCGGGCCGAGCCAATCCAACAGTACTCAAGCTAAATGTTGAATTGAGAAAGAATTTCAAGGGTGCTGGTCTTGCTCCAAACGATGCATCAACTGAATATGAATCTCCAACCCGAACTATTCGCTCCCGATTTGCTACTGATAGCTCCTTTGCCATTGGATTCGCCATCTTACTCTGAGCGGCCCATTATGCTGACCAGGATGTTCCACCCGAAACTTCTCGCGGTTTTGGGGGGGGGCACTTTTTCTATGATGTTCGGTCTATCCCAGGGACGTGGCTCACATTCTCTTCGTGATCGACAGGAAAAAAACGGCATAGCATAACATTCGCTTCTTTATGGTCTGGTATCACACTTGCTTATTAATACGGTCCGACCGGCATCAAGCGTTCAAATTGATCCAAGCAGAATGAGAGGCGGATGACCGGATAGTCGAAAGTGAGTCTGTCAATGATAGATGATGCGCATCGGACTAGCTTCGCGGACATTGATCCCTATTCGTGGATAGAGTTAGGATAACATCCCTATTCATCGATAACGGACGATGACTTACCCTATACCGCTACCGTGTAGCTGTAAGCAAAGGGGGCCGTAGGCTTACGGCTTACGCCGTTGCCCTTGTGCTTGTATACCCGCCATCTACGAGGCAGCTTGGCTAGTTTCGCTAGTAGCGTGTTACCAGCGAAGCTCCGCAATTAACCCCAACAACTTCGTAGCAGCATCTTTGCTGCTATGCAAAGGTAATGGTGCTTGCAGCCCCGTTAGTTGGGTAAAAAACCGTTTATCGACAAACACTTAAGAGATCTATGGCTATGAATACCTTAACAATCTGTAACTGTTACTTCGTAAATACGCTATTACTTTTTTCTCTAGCAGCTTCTTTGCCTCATGCAGTTTAGACGCTACTTCACCTGGAAGTGCCAGGTAGCTGTTTGAGATTCTAGGCAAGGAAAAGAGTTCGAAGTTTGAAATAAAAAAATAATAGAGATATAACAATACTAATAAATATGTATTTCATATAAATAGTAGTATTGGCAGTATTATAGTTTATGCTGTATTCCAATATTGTATATGCTAAATTACTAATCCGTGAAATTGATTTTGGCATATCACTCATGACTTATTATGGAAACTAATCAGAAAAAGGAATAGCAATCCTACCAATGAGAGAAATTTAAATAACTTAATAAATTGCGGTTGTATTTTTTGAAGTTAGGTAGTACTAATATATCTTATGTCCCCATACAATCTTTATTTCATTATCTAAGTTCTGTATTTTTTTTTTGAGGAAAGTTGACTATATTCGTATTAATACATAATAAAATGTACAAACGAATGGGGCCCTCTGCAAGCGCACCCTTTACAGCCCCGAAGGGTTCAAAAAATGATACACAGGAGGAAATCTACTCCAAGGAGATAGGTGGGGGTCTGCAAAAATCTAAAGCCCCACTGGGGTGCTAGAATAGGCTCTCTTTTAGCAAGATGGTCGGTCTCGGAGTTCTTGCGGACATTATATTGCATAGTTTGTGGGCATAAAATTCCATTTAGAATTCATTTTATTGCATAGTTTGTCAGCATGAAACAGAATCTCATGTACAAAGTCTCACAAGGTATCATATTTGGTTTTAGTTCAGTTCGTACAAGTCAATTTTCTTCTTTTTAAAACTTTTAACCTCATTTTTGTATTGTCTTTAAGTCCTCTTAGATCCATAGAAAGGGACCTATGAGGTGCTTTGGGGATTTTAGACCCTATTTGGTCCTCTATTCCTCATATATTTCCCTCTACTTCAAGTGGGACCTATTTGACCCTCTATGCCCCAAGTATTTCCCTCTACTTCAAGTGGGGAGTTACAATGAGAGGCCCTTATTTGTGAGCTTTTCTCCAACCATGGGTACACATCTCCGATTTTTGTCTTTGACTTTCGATATCTATTCTTCAATTCATTTTGGTATATGCTTAGTAGCACTAACCATGATTGTAGAACATAGAGAAGGGGTACTACGTTAGTAATAGGTTACCAATTGGAAGAAAAAGAGCTGTACTAATAGATTTGATAGCTTTAATTATGGTTTTACTAGAATCTAGAACGGTACCACTAGAATCTTGACTTGGGCTGGTCGGCTGGCCGGCTGGCCGGCATGCTAAGTCTGCAATTTTAGAACCTTGGTTAATATGCTTTTGCCCTTGAACCTTACGTTTGTGTAATGGATTTCATTTTCACAGTGAAATCATCACCATCACCGAGCCTTATCCCAACTATTTGGGATCGGCTACACAAATCCTATTCCGTCATTCTGCTCTATCAAGGGCCATACCCTCTGTTAGACCATAAGTCACCATATCTCTTTTCATTACTTCCATCCATGTCCTTTTGGGTATTTTCCTTACCCTTTTGGAGCGTTCCACTTGAACCAAATAACCCCTTGCCTTTTTAGAGCCTTCCACTTTTAGTTTATTTGACTTCACAGTGGAATGAGCTAGAGAAATGCGAGGTTTTAAATTTTAGAAGCAAATGGATTTACTGTTAGGTGTGGATTCATGCAGGATGGTGGAAGGTCATAGGAGGTTATGGGAGCCTTGATTGTTGGGTCGATAGATGGAGTCCAAGAATGTTGTGCCTACGTGGTGGACTCCCTGATTAATTTTAATGAACTTTTGTGCTTCAGCTTAAAAGAAGTACACACCAACTTTTGCTGGTTTTCTTTTTCTTATATTGATAATTGATATCCATAAAATTGCTCAGAAAAGGGCCCATGCATTGCTCACCAGAAGATACAGATTGAAAAATCTCTTTGAGCAGATGCAGGCATAACATTATCACTTCGCACATAGGTTGATCTGAGATTTTTGAAGGTAGATTGTTTCATAGTTGTTGGAAGTGGGAGTCGGAGTGATGGATCATAACATTCTAGAAGACCCTAGGTCAAAAGTGCATTTGGTAGAATTATTTTAGTAATAAATAAATATTTTAAAAATCTAGGAATTTTGACAAGAATTAAAAATAAATAATCCCACAAAAGTAGTAGAAAATGGGAACAAAAATTGGCGATAAAAAATAATTATTTATTGATAAATTCCAGTCTAATTAATAAATAATATTTTTATATGCCTTTGAGGTGTAGTTTATGTAACAAGAATCCCACACAGTACAATAAAAAAAATATTAGGGAAAGTCTCTTATAAAGAGACCATTTACCTTTGATATAAAGTGGTCACAATTAATCTTGACCATTGGATGTGAAATTGGGTGGCTGCATTTATTTCATTGACCAAGCTCAAAGTTCAAAAGAAATTTTCTTGAACTTTGTGACACACCCAAGCTATCAAATTTCACATCAAATGGTTGTAAGTAATTGTGACCTCCCTATACCAAAAGTAAATGGTCTCATTGTATACAATCCCAAAATATTATGAAAAGGTATATTAAGATAACTGATTGCAATACGAGGGAGCTGATTTTTTATTGTTACAATCTGAATTATTTACAAGTTCACGCTTTACAACCTCAAAGGAATACCAAGCTGTTTTATTTACAATTTTACACTTTACGACCTCCAAAAGCAGTAGCGGGAGAGAAGAGTATGATCATAATTATGATCCAAACGAATCTGCTTGTCCTCTTGTTGCCCCTTTGAGCAGCTACAATGGATCCCTAGAAAGTGGACATCGTGATCCCTTAATTGAAATCGTGATCCCTAGGAGGTCCCTTCCTGGAGTGGTTGTTTGAGATCATGGATTGGGATGAAAACCTAGTCTTGATATCTCGGCAACTACAGATTTTTTTTATAATCTGATTCTGATATCTGAAGTGTTGCAGATGATCACTTGATTCATCTCTAATCTGGCTGTGATTTGGTGAAAATGTGACTTGTTCTTTTGTAAGTGTTGTGTGACGTATTGTTGCAAAGAAAGATTGTTTACATTCATGTCCTGTTCATATATTCATGTCATTATAGACTCGGTACTAGAAGCAATTTTTTCAGCTTATCCACAGCGATATTAAACTTCTGCTTTTGTTTTCCATTGCCCAACGTTTACTCATCTACTCCCCTTCTTTCGTCTACTCCACTTTGTTTTTGCTGTGTAGGAACGGGTCTTGTGGTTGCTATTTTGTACTTAAAATTGTGTTTTTTTTTTCATTATTTGTTTCTTGTGACTCTTTGGGAATTTCCAGATGTCCTCATGATCATCACATTGTCTGCTTTTGTTTATTGTGACTGGGTCTCACTTCTATTTATGGTATTTGGTATGTATTTTGAATCTTGGAGGTTTCTTGAATTGGTAATGACACTTCTTGATTCATTATTTGGTTGTAGGTATCTTTGAGCGCTTTCGTGGCATTCTTCATGAAGGAGAAATTGACAAAAGGGTTCAGTTTTTGATTGAAGGCCTCTTTGCTATACGAAAAGCAAAGTTTCAGGTATATTGCTTTATTGTTGTTATTACTGCTACTGCTGCTTCTGCTACTGCTACTGCTACTGCTACTGCTACTGCCGTTACTACTGCTACTCCTTCCACCACTACTACTGCAGCTACTACCCATTGCTCCCACCACCACCACCACCACCACCACCTCCTCTATTATTGTCATTGTTGTTAGTAGCGGTGGTAGTAGTAATAGTTAGCTGGAAAGCTCTCCTTCAGTTCTCCCTTTATGGGGTTAGATTATGACATAGAAACATGCATATGCAGGGTTATCCAGCCGTCCGTCAAGAATTGGACCTTGTGGAACAGGAAGACCAGTTTACTCATGAGTTGTCTCTTGACGAAGAGATAGATCAAGAAATTGGACTAGGTATGGAAATTTTGTAGATGGACGTAATTACTTAAATTCATGAGTCTTTTGGGGCTTTATATACTTATTATTCAAATTGCAAACTACAGTCGCAGTTTAGCTTGTCATTACAGTATCTGCACCTGCTTCGTGTCTTCTTATACACCCTTACTTTTCTAATTCAGATATATTTAAGCCTGATCTGCAATATCTGGAACATGAGAAGGCTTATGAAGAACTCAAAAAAGACATCCTTGGTGATGAATCTTCTGATGAAGAGGGTTCAGACAAAGGCTCAGATGACGAGGATGAGGAAGAAACTGATGAAGAGGAAGAGGAAAAGCTCCAGATCAAGGATGAGACTGAGACCAATCTGGTCAATCTACGGAGAACGATTTATTTAACAATCATGTCGAGTGTGGACTTTGAGGAGGCAGGACACAAACTACTCAAAATCAAACTTGAACCTGGTCAAGAGGTGAGTGGTCCCTGAAGAACAAATTAGGACACTGTTAGTGACAAACTTTATCTCTTTTCAGAAGTTGCCATCCCCTGGTTCATTTTTTTCAAATGTACAAGATAGAGCCTTTGTTGTTTCATTGAAACATATCTATCCCTTCCCCCCACCCAACCGCACCCTAACCAAAAAAAATGGAAAAAAAATAAATTATATCTATATCTATATATATATATATATATATATATATACAAAAC